TGGCAGCAACGACTGTCGCAACCGAGGGCTGGGCTCGCTGCCATTGCAGCGGTAAGTCCCCTCTTTGAGGAGTGGCTTGAGAGACGCTACGGCGTCCTCACCTACCGCCTGACGCAGGTCCTCACCGGACATGGCAGTTTCGGGAGGTACCTGTGTCTGATGGGGCGGGAGGAAACGCCCGGGTGTCATCACTGCGAGGACCGCCCTGAGGACACGGTGGAACACACGGTGGGAGAATGCCCTTCGTGGGCTGAGCACCGCCGTGTCCTTAGGGAAGTGATCGGCGATGGCGACCTCTCGCGTCCGGGCCTAGTGCAGGCCATGATGCGGAGCGAGGGGGATTGGGATGCCGTCTCCTCCTTTTGCGAAGCAGTCATGCTAGCTAAGGAGGAGGCGGGACGCGTGAGGCAGCGAAGCGCTGCCTCCTCGCAACCCAGCCATCGCGAAGGACACACCGGGCGTCGGGGATCGCGGGACGATCTCCGGCTACCGTAAGCGCGGGCCTGCGGACGGCGAGCATGGGTGGCTCCCCGTCCGACCAGAAACAGACCCGAGCGTACGGCGCGTCGCGTTCCGCGCGCGCCTCAAAGAGCCATCAGACCACCACAGATGGGGTCCAATAGGGCCGATGCCGATTCGGAGTCGCGGAGAACCTAACGGGTAACCGGGGCTCCGGCTCGACGTGCAGGAGAAGGAACGGGGTGGTTTTTAGTCAGTAAGAGTCTGACACTCCCTCCCGCCTCACCCAGGCGGGGGCAGTCATTCGATGATTTTCCCCCCTTAAAAAAAAAAAAAAAAAAAATACCAATAATTTCGTTTTCCCTCGAGAATATCACATTTTTCCGGGATAAAAGTACCCTATTATTTAATCCAGACTTCTTAATTTACGTCTGCAAAAATTCAAAGCAATCGGTTTAGTAATTACGGCGTGAAAGCGGAACAAACAAACAAACTCACTTTCCGATTTATAATATAAGTAAGGATAACACAGGTCAGGTTCATAGTAACAAAATAGGTACAAAAATATCTTAATTAAGCGACAAGATGTTAAAAATAATATCTGCAGTCGAATTGCAGTTTAACAGTACAGGTTGCTCGTGCACCTATCGCTTGCAGGTTGCTCGTGGTAGTGCTCTGTGATATGTCACAGAGCACTACTGCTGTCTGTCAAATTCACATAATGGAGCCTACCGTATTTTGACGTGACAACGTCTTATAAATTGGTTTGCTGGGTGACACTTCAAGAAACTGCGTTACGCTCCGCTCACGTTATGCGCTCACAATGAGAGCGAGTGAGAGGCACGCGTCCCTTCCACTCGGGCATGGTTAGCCCGCCTAAGAGCGAGAGAGACAGACATAAAAAGTTGTTACTATTATTTCATCCTTCTTCCTACTATACGAATGAATATTCAAATTAAAATTATTTTACCACTCAAAGTCGTGTGTCACGTAAAACTTTCGCCCGTATACCGACTTTACAGGCAACCAATTTTTTTTTTCACAGCACTAGTGTGAACCTATCGCTCTTCCTGTGCGAGTGTGCGGACGGTGAGCATGGGTGGATCCCCGTCCGACCAGAAACAGACCCGAGCGTACGGCGCCGAGCGTTCCGCGCGCACCTCAAAGAGCCATCAGACCACCACCGGTGGGGCCCAACAGGGCCGATGCCGATTCGGAGTCGCTGAGAACCTACCGGGGCTCCGGCTCGACGTGCAGCCGAAGGAACGGGGTGGTTTTTATTTAGTAAGAGTCTGACACTCTCGCCTCACCCAGGCGGGAGCAGTAATTCGATGAATTTCCCCCCTTAAAAAAATCTCTCTTCCTGTAATAGGGAATTAACTAGTACCTATCACATAATTTGACCTTGAATATTTAACAGCTGCTGTGATTGGACAAAAACCATTATACATTTGCGCTATCTATTGAGCAAAAACTACGTTAGTCCCATGGCTCCACTATACCGTGTCTAATACTATTTTTATTATCGAATTGAGAGTGAGAATCAGCTATTACGGCACACATTAGAAGAGTATGGTGGTGATAAATAATTTTCAGTAGTCTCCCATCACCAAACGGCTAAACTTACATAACATAATATCTTTTTAAAGACTAGCTTCTGCCTGCGACTTCGTACAATACCGTTTTCTCAGGATTTTTATGTCTTAAGACCCTTCTCGTAATAATAACAAATACAACAAAAAATTAATTTGTGAAATCATTCCAGCCGTTCACGCGTGATGCCGTGACCAAGGGAAAAAGGGATACATTTTTATATAATTACTACTAACGAACACTTAAAAAAAAATTGCCAAATTGGTCCAGTCGTTGTTGAGATATGCGCTTACCAATACATTGTGCGGATCATTTTTATATAATAGAAGATATAAAGAATATAAGTATAACTATTTTATCTTTATAACTTTCAATTAAGTGTCTGAATCCAAAGTCCACGATACGAGTCGTTATTTATTTATCTTAACTGATAATACAGATTTTTATTTTTAATCTCAATACATAGGTACATTCTATTCTGCTCTCACCTTCATTCAGTAAGGACTTGAAAGAAATTGTAACTTTTAATAACATCACGTCTTTTATCCCCCAAGGTGTACCTAGGCAGAGGCACATTATGCCACTGTACAATGTAACACCCATTTTTCACTATTTATGTTATGCGTTCCATGTATGGGTAAGCCTATTGCCATATACCGGACACAATTTCAGACCCTATGCCACTACTGAGAAATTAAAAAAGAACCGGTAATACTTTGCCCAACCCGGGAATTGAACCCGAGACCTCATGAGCAGTAGTCACGCTTGCGACCAGTCAGCCAACGAGGTACTGTTGATGACACAAAACTAAATCAAAGTGTCGAACAATTGCGCCCGGTGCGTTGCCATAGGCCCCAACCTCTTTTACATAGGATTTATAATAGGTGGGGACAAGTATGTTACAATATATTTTAGTAAACGTATAATGTCCGTAGTGCATGAATTAAAATGTAGTCATGTTGTTAGATAACATAACCTAACTACCTTTTTTTTAAGGGGGGAAAATCATCGAATGACTGCTCCCGCCTGGGTGAGGCGGGAGGGAGTGTCAGACCCTTACTGACTAAAAACCACCCCGTTCCTTCTCCTGCACGTCGAGCCGGAGCCCCGGTTACCCGTTAGGTTCTCCGCGACTCCGAATCGGCATCGGCCCTGTTGGGCCCCATCTGTGGTGTCTGATGGCTCTTTGAGGCGCACGAGGAACGCGACGCATCGTACGCTCGGGTAACCTAACTACCTAAGTCTATCATCTAGAGTAGCATAAGTAAAACAAGATATTTTTTTAAAACGCAATATCTATTGTTTTCTTCCAAATCTAGTTACACTATATTTCATCATTAGTGTTTTAGTCATCGTTGCTTTGATATCCCATATTTTATCATCTTACGCAATTTGACACAAATCAAGCAAAAATCATGTCGATCGAACAGTCGATCTGAATCATCGTCCTTTAACTTATTTAAACATACAGAGTAAGCATGACGCAGCAACTCAAAGTACATGAGGAAAGTCTAAAGTTCACGAAGGAAATACAATGAAAGAGTGGCAATTCTGTCCAGAAACTGTGACTGAACGAGTCGTGAGAGAATGCCAAAGGTCAAAGCCAGTTGACGTAAGTAACATGTAACTAAATATTTATTACACTCCCTAAAATATCCAGGAGTTCGGTAAACCTAGCCGGTTACCTAGGAGTAGGAACGGAGAGGTTTTTAGTCATTAAAAGTCTGATACTTCCTCTCGCCTCACGTAAGGCGTAAGAAGCGTCGCGGAGAACCTAACGGGTTACCGGGGCTCCGGCTCGACGTGCAGGAGAAGGAACGGGGTGGTTTTTAGTCAGTAAGAGTTTGACACTTCCTCCCGCCTCACCCAGGCGGGAGCAGTCATTCAATGATTTTCTCCCTTAAAAAAAAGGCGTAAGAAGTCATTTGATGAGTTTAAATAGTTTAGAAAAGGTCTTAAAATAGAGGCATGCCTTTTGTTTCCAGACGGGAACGTAAAAGAATACTCATTAAAATGATGAATGTCATCATTCAGATTTGTTCCTAGTTGATACACAGCTGTGTTTTAGGTACCATCGTTTTCAAGTATGAGTGAAACAAGTGATTTATTTATGCAAATAGGCTACAAGGCAGCACTTTTACACGTCAATTTTATCAAGCGAACGATGAGGTCGACATTTCTTAACTGACTACTCTGAGAAGAAATGCCGAAACAAATTCAAACTATGAAAAAGAGGAAGCTTGCAGTTCTATGCCCAATCAGAGATGTTTATTGTTTGTTATCTATTATTTCTATAGTTGATTTTATATCTACAATTCATTCTACAGTAGACCTTTCAGCCGCTATTACATGGGACTCATAACATAAATAATCAAAAGTGGGTGTTACTTCTGTGTGCACCTCTGCCTACCTCTTCAGGGATAAAAGGCGTGATGTTATGTCATAGTAGAATGGAATACAGAATACATTAAACCAGATTCTGTAAATACAGAAGTTCCAGAACTAGATGTTCTCGATGTATTGCCATTTAGTAGGTATAAGTCTCACGACTTAGGTTAAATATTGTTTTGAAAGTAAATTGAATAATTTCATTTCCAAAAAAATCTTTCAATGCGGCCGTAATAGACGATCTGTAGCCAAATCCTATTAATATTTTATTGCCAAGTTCTAATAAAGAAATATTTTGTTCGACCATGTACGGATGTTTTTGACATAAGCATAATTAATTGACACTAATCTGTCTGGCCAACAGATTACAACATACATTTAACATCACAACTCTCATTCCCTGAATGCGTAGGCAGACATTCGTGTCTATGTTGTCGTCAAAAAAATTTATGGCCAATATCGAGAACCATTCAGCACCTCCTATAACAATTCACAATTATGGTAATCGAATATCTTAATAATAATTAGAAAACTGGAGACCCTGTCCTCAAAAAACTCACTAGCGACATCTTTCCTAAGCAGATTTCAATATTAGCAACAGCAATCCTATCATTATCAAAATTACTTATGTCTCACACAATCTTGCTCCAAGGGAATCTTCGCTTTAAGTATAAAATCTACACATACATACATATTTGATACTCAATCAGAAAAAATGGATGAACCGATTCGGACGTAAATTAGCATAGTAACAGATTTAAGTCCAGATAGAAAAAGACTTCTTTCATCTTCCCCTAGAGCACTTTTAGCCTTACCAAACCTGGGGATCATAAAAAATGAAAGCTTCTGGTTGTTTTGTTTGGGTTACGGTAAATATACGGTTCTCCTAAGGTAAGAAAAAAAGACTCTCAAAGCGAACAAAGTCGCAAGCTACATCTAGTGGGACATAAGCCTTTTTCTAAGTAGGTATCTAAGCTCATAGTAAAAACTTATTTACATTAACTTGATAAATTACCTCACTAAGTTTACATAATGTTCGTAATTTGTTATTTGTCATCGTTGCCGAACATTCAAGTAAAAAAACTTTTTTTCGACCTTAGACATCAGAACTTGTGTGAGAGACGGTACCGCTTAATGCTTTGGGGAACTGGGGATAATAGCTGCGCAGTCCGTTTTTTTGCCGCGTCTATGATTGAATAAGATGGGGTATGGGGTAAAGATTCCTTTTATTAATAGGACAAGCCCGCAACCTCCCGAAACCGCTGCTACTCGTATAAGCCAGTATCTGCAGCACATACAACGATGAAAATACGCATGCAGGGACATGAATAACTGTCTTGGTTTCCGCAGCGAAATAAATCAGAAGAGGTGAAGAGAAGGACGATAGTGTCCACTTCCCTCGTTGAATTACAACAGGAGACAGAATGAATTAAGCCTAAAGAAAGGCCCAAAAATAAACTGCACAACTGGGAGAAGTCCAGTCGCCAAACTGAATAACTTTGGAAAAAATAGATTTACACCGCGTGTTAACGGCGAAGTAGAAGACGTTTGTCATCATCCCACCTCCCGCGTAGATCGAAAAAACCGAATAAGGGACTAATCAGTTGACACAGATTGCACAGCAGCACTCTCTGACAAACCTGTGCCTTTAGCCAAACGCCACGTTAGCAGTTGTCTACAGAGAAAGTAACTAAATGTATGGGATGACAAGTGTCAAAATTTACGTCAATTCCATATATTTTGGTTTTCTATTCTACATGTAAACAAGCGCTAAATAGCATTTGGCTACAGCTACAGAACCTTTTAAACTGCGAACTCGTACACAAACATAGTTAATGACATTCACTCTTATGTTTACGACGCGGACTGTCACAAGCCTTTGAAGACGATAATGAACTTGTGCCTAAAATATAGGTCTACTAGTATCTTTTTTTATACTTGATAGGTCGACGTTTGGCCATCTCGCCTGGTGGTAAGCGATGATGTGGCCGACGATGGAGCACGCCTACCTATGAGCAACTTGTTCACTTGGGACATGAAGTTTCTTTTTTTCTATGGCATAAGCCGGTAAATGAGCTGACGGATCACCTGATAGTAAGCCTTCGGCGTCCCCCATGGACGCCTGGAGCACCAGAGGCGTTGCAAGTGCGTTACCAGCCTTTTGGGGATTAGGAGTTTGAGGATGGTTGGGGATTTAGGAATTGGGGAGATTGGGGAAGGAGAGGGTAATTAGGCCTCCGGTAACCTCACTCACACGACGGAACACAACGCAAGCGTTGTTTCACGTTGGTTTTCTGTGAGGCTGCGGTATCACTCCGGTCGAGTCGGCCCATTCGTGCCGAAGCATGGCTCTCCCACACTTGTATTGTAATTTTTCTTAGCATTTTTAAGGCTTTTTAGTTTTTAATCCCTAGCATTGTAATATATTTAAAAGTACAAGGTTTAGGTAGTTTCGTTTCGAAATGCCGTGACAATTGCCTCACAAGACCTTTGCAATTCTGACCCTTACCATCAAAAAAGGTACTTCGTCAAAAGAATGGTAATTAACAAGCTTTCGTTGTTGATCTTTTTAATTTTTGTTACGAGGTTAAGCGGTAAGACTATGCTTACCATGACTTCACAATTAGTGGTTTTACCGTCTTATTTTGACATGTCAATGTTCCGTGTAAATCTTTGTGTGCCGGAAGGATTATCGCTTCTATATGTAAAAGGTTAGAGTCGGTAATGTATTGTATTAAGTTAAATTGGATAAACAAAATCGGTTTTTGGAGGTTATCTAACCATCAAATGCTTGATGAAGACTTCTTAGACATTGGTAGAGATTATGGGGAATATGACTATAGTTTATCTACATATATCATAGAAATGACGTTTTAGCCCCCACTCCTAAACTTTGATTTGTCATATCTAAGTATCATTTTATTATACATCAAAATAAAAAAAAACGTGTCTAATATTTTTCATTACTTAACTGATGGACTAATAACATTTTTAATTTTCATACCATGTCATCATCCCTATTATATTTGTACTCATATTTTAAATGTATTTTTATCCACAAAGATAAAAATAGAAGTTATTATTATACCTACATGTAACGTATTTTATTGTGTACGAAACAAGTGACCGTGCCTATTTCAAGGACCCCAAAAACATATTCATCATAAACAGCCTATAAATGCCCACTGCTGAGCAAACCCTCTTCTCATACGGAGAAGATTTGAGCATTAATCACCACGCTTGCTCAATGCGGGTTGGCGATTTCAAACTTATAATTAGAAATTATGAGCTTAGGTTTCTTCACGATGTTTTCCTTCACCGTTTGTCAGTGGTGTCTAAATAATCTTAGAAAGTACATATAACTCGGAAAAAGTCACATTGCTACTTGCCGTTGGTAGGTTTCGAATCCGCATCCTCATACATGAGAAGCGGGCGTCTTAAACCTCCGGGCCACCTCGATATAACAACATATTCATATAACATATAACAAAAACATATTAAGGCAACATAATTTAAGTACATTTAAGTATTAATGTAATAAAAATACGGAATTAATAAACAAATACATAATACATTCTTACTCAACTACAGTTACCGACCAACTTTTTATAAATACCCAGTAATGTAGGTACGTACTGAGTAATTTTTTATATTCTTATGTTAATTATAATAATAAGAAATATGCTTAATAAATATTTTGAATTAAGCTCCTGTGGTATATGCATATACTTTAATATTTTGTTTTGCAACTGTACTTACGTAAGGTGTTTTGTTTTATTTATGCAATTTTTATGCGCAATTGCACACACACACACACACCTATGTATTTATCAGTAAATAAATACCCATTTGTATGGAAGAAGTAACTAAGAAAATTAACGAAATAACTGGATATTATGACTTGCCAATTAGTCAAATTCAATACTTTTTTTCGATCTATCAAAAACAAAATTGTGATGCCGGGTCCTACCAATTTAAAAAAAATCGGCATTCAACTTCAAAAAATCACTTCTGCGTAATAGTCCTTTAGAGACTTTTACAACCTAATTTATTTTAGTGTAGTTATCTTGAGATATAACAAATTACGGCTAATTCACATGAACCATTCGAGAAAGTCTCTACTGGTTTCAAGTCACACCGGAACTCTCATTCATGTGCAGCGTGCGCGACACGGAACCGTCATCGTGCTGTTGCCCACGTCATTAATCGTATTTTTAATTAGACCACTGACCAATGGTTTTCTTTACCGACTTCATGAAAACTTATTAGAGGAACAACGATAGGCTGGGAAATAATAAAAAAGAAATTTACCTGTTGTACAATAACTTCTAAGGGTTGTCCAGTCTGTAACTCCTCTGACGGCCTCCTCGTCGGCCTAACAGCATATTCCCGCTCTCCGATTATCTGCAACAAACATAACCATATATTAATGACGCCATTTTACTAAATAGCCAGTTACATTTGAAATAACGACTCGTCATTTGATAAAGTGTTTAAGCGGAAATTTGACGTCTTTATGACGTCATTAGTGTTTATAATTAGAAGTTTTTTTTTCGTTGTTGCGTCTTCAGCTGTTTTTTTCATTCGGATTGTTAGAATATTTAGATGGGAATACATAATGTAACATGTTTAAGCGCTAACCATAATATTAAAAAAAATCTGATTCGAAGCTATTTTTTTATCCTGCTCTTTTAACATTTAACGCCACTTCGCTCCTGCTCTTCTAAAACGTATAAATAATAAACTATAAATCTTCAATTCTTAAACATTCAGTATAACATCACATCATTTTCAAATATCTCTCTCAATAAACCTAAAGAATGCCACACACACATGGAGTATTTTACGAAAATCTTAAAAACATTTAGACTCAAAAGACCTGTGGTTAAAACATCGCTTAGTAGATAATATTGCTCTACTTTGTGGTCACAAAATGTTACCACAAACATTTAGGTGCGAATAGGTATCTGTCTTAGTAAAGTAACATTCATATAGATTGTCATGTCCTAGTTTTTAAAGGAGATAAACGAAACTAAATGCCGAAACTACCTAATAACTTCTTGTTGAAAATCCAAGGAATTTTTGGTTTGAGATCTATTTACAGTATAATTTTTTTATGGGACGACTCTATCACAGCCTCCCCAAAATCGCTGAAACTTGAGTATGCCAGGATCTTCATAGATTTTTTTTAAGGGGGGAAAATCATCGAATGCCTTCTCCCGCCTGGGTGAGGAGGGAGTGTCAGACTCTTACTGACTAAAAACCACCCCGTTCCTACTCCTGCACTTCGAGCCGGAGCCCCAACACGGCAACCCATTAAGTCCTCCGCGGCATCTTCATAGATTAGCAGGTTTATTTGTTAGCTGTTAGCTAGAATCAATAACCTATCTTTTGCTGGCTACTAAAGGTAGACTTTTAATATTTTAAGGTCCATACAAAATGTGCCAAAATTCTATCTTTAACAAAGGCGGACATAGTGTCACTTAGAATGATTAAAACACCAAAATGTCAGTGAAATCAGACTGGCAGTTATTATTTTGTTTCTTAATCTGTTTACGTTTTAAGTCAA